CTGGCCCTGCAGCTTCTTTTTTTGGAGCGTGAAGCCAGCGAGGAAAAGGACGGCAGGAGCAGGGATCATCTGGTCGTTAAGGTGGCGCGAAGCATGATCAAGGCCGTCATCATCATCAACACGGCGGGGAAGATCCGTCTGCTGAACGTGTATGAAAAGGACATTCCACTGGGCCTCCAGCAGGAGCTAGTGCGCCGCATTCATCGCCTCATCTCGCGGCGCAGCGCCGATCTTTGCAACTTTGTGGACAACTTCCGCGACTGGCCCACCCCCGATACCCGTGTGGTGTACCGCCACTACGCCACGCTTTGCTTTGTATTCATTGTGGACAGCAGCGAGTCCCAGCTGGCGATACTCGATCTCATCCAGGTGTTAGTGGAGGCGCTCGACCGCACCTTCGAGAACGTGTGTGAACTAGATCTGATTTTCCACTCGGACAGGGTACAGCTGTTGCTGATGGAAATGGTGATGGGCGGCATGGTTCTGGAGACATCGCGTGAGGAGATACTTCGGGCAAACACCGAGATGCAGCGGATCGGAAGCTCCAAGGCAGGCACTGGAGCGGCCGCGGTGACCGGCTACCACTAGCGATCGGACGCCCTTCATTCGCTGCTGTGTTCTCTTTGCTTCCTTCTCTCTGTGTGGAGGGGGCCGTGCGGTTGTGTGCATGTGTGTCCCCTTGTTGCGCTACGGTTTAGCCCTTTTCTTTTAGGCTGCAGCGCCGGATCGAGGGTGGCTCCCCCGGTTCTAGCGTCTTACTACCCTTTTTTTTTTTTGCACTTTTTTTCTCCATTTTGATGCCCGCAGGTGGCAGTGGCATCGGACAGGGATTGTGCAGCCGTAGGGGGAAGTGAAAACTAGAGGGGGGTGGCAGTTGGGACAGGGGTGTGGGACGGGAGCAAGGCGAGGGTGCGGAGGAGCAGGGAGGGAACATGGTCGCCGCTTTCACTGAGAGCCTTCAGCGAGAAGTTGACACGGCGATACAGGAGGCTGCGAGCCACCGAGGGGGCCTGCGGCGACGTGTGGCCGCTGCGTGTGACCGCATCCGCCAGCAGCAGGCGCTTGCGCGTGCGGAGGCCCTCACGCCATTGTTCCGCGCCGATCTCTTGCGGCGTGGCAGGGCCATTCAGAAGAACCGCGCCCGCCTGATGCAGACACTGAAGCGGTTTGCACGTGTGCTTCCATCCGCTGATCTTTGCGAATCGAGCGGTCTTCCCAATGTGGTGGCGGTTCTTCGCGTTGCGCAGGAGGCGCTCCGGGTGGAGGAGGAGCTGGCGTACTGGCGGCAGCCGCTGCCCTGCGAGGAGGCGTGGTGCGCAGTGTGCACTGCTGTGCGTGAAGGCGGCTACCGCGCGGATGCACCCTTACAGCTGCCAGCGGCCACCGAGCAGCAACAACACCGGCGGAGGGAGCGGCAGGAGGCGGCGCTGGAGCATCTGCTTTTTCCGGTCTGCACGAACGTTGGGTCGGGAGAGGAGGAGGAGACGGCAGCAGCGGCAGCGACAGCGCCTGCCATTCCGTGGATCGCGCTCCCGTGTTTCTGCACCGTGACGCATTTCTGCCGCCACGAACAGGTGCCCGTGGTGGCGGCAGCGGCGAAAGGCAACAGCGGCAGCCAGCCGGCGAATCCCGGCGCGAGTGGGGAGGAAGACGATGCGATGCACGATGAGATGGCGGAGGCGGAGAGGGGCGTCTCGAGCGACGGCAGGGTTACGCAGATGGTCCTAGATGCCACGGCAGCACACCTTGGCCGTCTTGGTGTGCGAGCAGGTGATTGCAGTAGCAGCGGGGAGGATGAGGAGGCGGCAGACTCCGCGTTGGAGGAGGTACGGCTGCGGGTGTCCCTGGAGGTCGCGGCGAGAGTCACTGCGTGCAGGCATGCCGTGGAGTCGCTTGCGGCGGGCGAAGATGGGATGCTTTTGGACGGCGTGACGACAGTGACTGCGGCTGCGCCCCTTGCGGTGCCCGTCATGGCGCTTGTTCTACCGCCGATGGAGCAACTCTTTTTTTGCATTGCGTACACCATTGGCGCAGCAATTCTGCGGGATGAACAGAACGAGCGACGTGCGGCTGCCACCACGAGTGGTACTGCCATTGTTGTCGATGATGATGATGATGATGATGGTGGCGGTTGGAAGGGCGCGTGGGGACGGTGGATGCGGCAGGAAGGCTGCATTGGCGGTGCTGACAACGCACCCGTTGGTCCCCGCCTGCTGCAATATCTGCTGGAATACGTCTTTTGTCCCGCTGAGTGTGAGAGCCAACGGAAGGGCGCTGCGGCACTTGTGCGGCCGAGCACGGTGCGGCGGTGGTTGGAGCTCGCGTTGGGCAGCGTGCCCAATAAGGACGGCGCCATGGATGCCATGATGACTCTCTACATGAATCGACGCTGAGACGCGTGTTGTTGCTGTTCATTCATGGTAGGTGCGAGGGTTGAAGGTGTCGGGTAACAATAAGAGAGGCACACTTGCGTGTGGGTGCCGGTGGGTAGGGAGTTATTGCACCTTTTTTAAAATTTTGCAAATATTTTTTTTCTTGCTCTTCCACGTGCAGTTAAGTTGCACGAGTACGCACAAAAGCACAAACAGACAAGTTGAAAATTAAGCAAAAATGACGACGATGCAGAAAGTGGACGCCACGCTGGCGCGGTTTGACCGGAAGTCTCCGCGTGCGGCGTACGCACAGATTTGCGAGGAGATGGGCATTCACCCGCAGAAGAGCTTGAGTCTACTGCTCAGTGACGCCCCTCGTGACTGGGATAAACACCGCGTGCTCGAATGCAAAAATTTTATTCTTGGTCCGAAGGGCTGCATGGCGCTGGTGCCCGTGCTGCTCTGCAGTCGTTCCCTGCGCCGTGTGAGTCTGCCTGGTTGCCATGTCACTGACGAGTTTGTCGCCCAGCTGGCGGAGACGCTGCAGGACCATCAGTGCATCCGCAGCGTGGACCTGAGCGACAACCCACTTGTGACAGTGTACAGCGCGGACCCTATCATCAAGCTGCTGCGAGTGAATAAAAACATCGTGCGATTTTCTCTTGAGGGGACGCACATCGGCACCAACGTGGCCAACCTCATCAACGATCTCTGCGACAAGAACCACGAGGAGGTTGCGAACTACTTTGCGGACGACTACTTTCGCATGAAGAATATCTTCAACTATCTTGATGGGGACGGTTCCGGCTGGGTTTCACTGCGCGGACTTGTGCTCAACGCGCCCTTCCCGGTGTTGCAGGAGCAGCTCATTGAGCGCGTAGCTCTTCGACGGCCACGAAAACGCTCCGATGGCACCATATCCGTCAATACCTTTCTTGAGCTTGTGTACTACAACTACAAGACAGATGTGGAGATTGCGAAGCGGGCGAAGGAGGCGGACACCGAATACTACAACATTATTGTCAACTGGAAGCGTCTCTTGGATGCGATGGAGGGCGACGGTAAGAAGGAGATGAATGAGCTGAAGAAGCAGAGAAGGAACGAGGAGGACGACGATGAGGAAGAGGAAGAGGAATCCATGACGGATGTTCCCTTGCCGGGGAAGCTGCCCGTTCTACCGCCGGAGGATCTTTTTCGTCTGCGCATCCGCTCTCACGAAATTCGCCCATCGGAGGCCCGCGAGATTGTTGTGGCGGCCATGAAGCTGCAGATTGACGCCGATGCCCGATGCCTGGCGGAGGCGGAGGAGGAGGAGGCTGAGGCTGCGAGGGCTGCGGGTAGCGACGACAAGAAGGAGAACACCGAGGGCGCGGCAAGCGGGGAGCAGCGGGTGGTGCGGCTTTCCATCCCGTGCCTGCGTCGGGCGTACCGCTCCGTCTTGCAGCCGGAGCCCCTGCCAAGGCGCTTCCGCTTTCTGCAGGAGCACGAGGAGGACTACATCCCGCCCATGATGCGCGCTGGCTCACGGCTCATCAGTATCTCAAAGTTGTCGTTTCTCGACAGCTTCCGCTCCTCTGGCGGCGGCAGTTTCGTGTCGCAGGATGAGAGTTTGGGGATCAACCCGGATGAAACCCACACCCGCTGGTGGGGACTACCGCCCGCCGTCGTGCGGCTCGCGACGAAGTTTTTTAACAAGCAGGTTGCAAAAATGCCAAAGAGGCGGCAGTCCAAACTTGTCATCTCGCCTCGCACCCAACGCGACAACGCGATGCAAAAGGCGGCCATCCCCGTGACGGCATTTCTTGGCACGAAGTTCGTGACTGACTTGGAGACTATTCACCCCCGGCTGCTGGCGGATAAATTCCTGCAGTACAGCATCCCCATCGACGTCTCCACGATTACCCTGCAGGAGATCGTCAACTGCCTGAACGAGTACTACGTTGAGGTGAGTGTGGACAAGGTGTTCACGCTGGATCAGATACGCAACATGCCCGTGCCCACCGTGCAAGATACTCAATCATCGACTGGGAACGCAAAAACCGAGATGAGCATCCTCGATGAAATCTAATCGCCGCCCGACAACCGCGTGAGGAGCGGAAGTGAAGGAGCATCGAATGCAAAGAAGAAAAGAGAAGGAAGAAAGAGGAAAGAAATGGTAAAAGGAAAACAAAAACAAAAACAAATAATAAAAAGAAAAACTAAAAGGAAAAAGAAACAAGACAGAAAACAAATAAAAAGTTAGTGTTTTGAGTTTATGATGTATAGCGAACCTGGTAAATGCTTTACTTCCACGCCGGTGCGTTTGCCCGAGATGGAGGAGACGAGGAGGAAGAAAAAAAAAATGTATGAAAGGTGAAACGGGGGAAAATGCACTTGGGCAGGCACACGGAAAGCAGTGACACGGCAGTCAATGTTTATTGATACTTCTTAAAAGTCCTATTGTCAATGCTGGTGCCGGTTTTTTTTTTTTTTTTTTTCTTTTTTCCTGTTCACCATCCCCCTTCGCTTGGACGTGTGTGGGGCGGTGGCGATTTATATTCGCTCCTCTCGACGCCATGTACATTACAGCTGCAGCTGCCGTGGGAGGGGGCGGTGGGGTGGATGAGTGCGTGAGGAACATAAATTTCTTAACCCGCTCTCTGTCCGTGCATGTCGCTTCCTCATTTATTTATTTATGCTTTTTTTTTTTTTCTTTTTTTCTTTTTTTCTTTTTTCTGTGGATTGTTGCCGTTCAGGTGACGGGAGTACAAAGAAGGGAGAAGACGTGAAAAACAAAACAAAACAAAAAACAAGGAGGGACATTGTGTACGCACACATACAGACATACAAAGGGAGAAAACGATAAGGAAGGAAACAACAGCCACAGAGAGGGAGAGAAAGAAGGAAAAAAAAAAAGAAGAAAAAAAAAAAAAAATAAATAAATAAAGGAGAAATTGGATATCCGAGTCGAGAGAAAAAAGAAAAAAAAAGGGGGGTGGGGAACAAGAGGAAGGGGAAACAACAACAAGGAGGCAATAAGGCCATTTCTTTGATGCTTATCGACAACGATATTATAATGAAAACGGCGCAGCAGCAGGTAGGTAAGCTTCCCAGCAACATGGGCACAGGCAATGACAAGAATGAGAAAAGCGCCGCTGCAAAAGTCGATCGTCCCTCGCGCGGAAGTAATTTAGATGAGTTTAATGAAAAACGGTTTGACGACGCTTTGGGCGATGTTGAAGAATACGAAGGCTTCTCTGCGGGCGGTGGCTTGTACATGGAGAGCGGCATGGAGTTTGTCATTAGCATCGATGACAATGATGACGATGGACCTGCCGTTTCCCAGGCCCTAAATTCGGCGCATGACTCTTCGCCTTCTCGCCGCTTTGCTCCCAACGGGTCGGGTTTAGAAGGAAAATCTGGCGCCATGAACAACTGGAATGCCAACTCACAGCAGCAGCAGCAGCAGCAGCAACGCGGCATCCATCCGTGCGATCACCCCGCATCCACGGCAAACGGTAGTATAAACTCAGATGTTTTCTTTGTTTCTTACAGCAGCTGGACGAATCATGCAAACACCGATAGCGCATACGGCGAGGTATCACCTGCTGTCTCTTCTACTTTGGAACCACTGGTGGCATGTGGTGGCGTGTCGCCACAACAACCGCAGCAGCCTTTTGACGTGCCCATTGCGGGAATTACCCCGGAAAGGGACGCGGGAAACTCGCAATCAAGGCGGGATCCGCAGGATGAAATACGAAGCAACCTTTTTGTCTCTGGTCTCCATGCCAGCGTGACAGATAACGAGCTATACAAACATTTTCATCCCTACGGTGAGATTGAATCGGCAAAGGTGATGTTAGACATTCACACAGGAAAAAGTCGTGGCATTGCGTTCGTAAAATTCAAGGAAGTCGCCAACGCCGAAAAGGCAGCTGAAGAAATGAATAATTCTGTTTTCCATGGGGAGACCATTGCGGTGCGTGTAGCCAAGCCGCATGCCGCCTATCGTCCTGGCGCACCTACCAACAAGACCTTTGTACGGAACATACCACTCAATATGAAGAAGGCGGAACTCATTCAACACTTTGGGCTTTACGGTGAGGTAGTTGATGTCTCCATCCACAATGACGCGGCGCAGCGGTCCTCAAACAACAAACGGAACGTTGCCTTTGTCACGTACACGACCAAAGAGGCAGCCGCAAGGGCAGCACGAGAGACGCATACAAGTATACCGTTTCCGGAGTGTGAGGGTATTCCTTTACTTGCGAAGGTGGCTGAGGACTCCGCCCATCGTAACGAGCGTCTTGCCCGACGTGGGATCTGTCGCCATGGTGGAGTCAAGAACACTCTAAACAGTGCAAACAATAGTGTCACCAGTTCCTTACAGGGTCTGCCGCAAGTTTACACACCAGGTACAGGATCGCGGAAAACGCTCGACCGGACCCTATCGGCCAGCGCCCCCTCGTACCCCTTTGTGCCGTCCCTGGGGGGGCAGCCCGTTCCTTCCGACCCTTACGCTTCTGGGAACACGGCAGCACCGGCCTTTTACGCCGCCCCGTTCTTTCCCGTGGCAACAGGAGCCACTGGAACCGCGCCGCTCTTCCTTGTTGGCCCGGAATCCAGGCCGGCTGTCTTTGCACCGTCGTTGACACCTCTTTCGTTCAGCGGCTCCGTGCAGACGATGGCGCCTATGAATACAGCCACAACTACGATGGCTGCCACGGCACCAACGCCACAGCTGATGATGTATCCCCAGGCCACCCCTCCCGTGGTGACACCACAGTCAACCATTTTTTGCTATTTACCAAATGGACAGATGACGCTTGCTGCCACGCCGCCACAACAGGGCACTTGAGAAGCATGCGTGAGAGAGGGAGAAGAGGAAGGGGAGGGAGAGTCAGCAAGAAAAAAAGAAAGGAGACAGTTAAAAATGAAGCCAGAATGAAAAAACAGAAGGGTGGGACAGGGCAAAACACCCCCTCTCCCCAAGGAAATATTAATAGTAATAATAAAATCAATGGTAATGATGATGAACGGGTGGACAGCTCAAATACAACAATTCCACACACAAAAAATGGCAATGTTGTTCTGGAGCAAAGACACGCGTTGTGGACGGGATATACCGTCGGCTGTCATTGGAGAAGGGGGTCTGCCCGTACGGTGCATATATATATATATATATATATATGTATCCATATACACGCCCTTTTCCTAGCTGGGCCAAAGAGAAACCATGCGGAGGATGCATAACTCCAACGAGCATCACGACGGTAGAGAAATACGGGTTATATGTACATATCAGCTGTGGGGTGCGATCAAAAATAAAAGGGAAAGACGGAGAGAAGGAAGAAAGAGGTAAACGAAATAAATAAGGGATTTAATGGAGTTGATACCGTGGGCAATTATTTAGAAATGTCTTGAGGTGTCATTTGATTGGAGGAATGGGGTAAAGGGGGGTAGGATAAGAGGGAAAGGGGAGAGGGAGAAAATGGAGCCACCATACGTAAACACACGTATCATATATATATATGATATTGCACTCTATCCCTCATTCTCTCACCCCTTTTCCCCAGAAAGAAAGATGATGAAGGGGGAGGGAGAAGAAATTTACTTCTTACAGTCCACTGCTGCTACCAATATACTTAAATACATATTTGAACCTATGCATTGCCCATCACACGATTTTAGCCGTAAAAGAAGATCCTAAAGAAAATATTCTTTTATTTACATGTATATGTTTCCTTTCCAGATACGTAATATGAAGGAGGGAGTGGAAATGACAATAAACCCAACATCTCAGCAAGAACTCAACAACACCTGAAGGCGGGAGGGAGGGAACTGACGAGGGAATGAGAGAGACTGCAAGGTTTTTTTTTTTTTTTGTCCGAGTGCTGTCGGTGTTCTGTGTTGACTTGCTTTTCTGTTCCTTTTTTTTTTTTTTTTTTTTTTTTTTATCCTATCCCCCTCATGATAACCATGAATGGATACCTACGCACTCAAAAAACTTAAACACACACAAACTTTTTTTTTTTCTTTTTTCTACTCACTTTTATTACGTCATGTTTTTTCTTTTCTTTTCTTTTCTTTTCTTTTCTTATGTGTGTTTTTGTTTTTGAATGAGTTTTTGTCATCTTTTTTTTTTTTTCTTTTTTTTTCTTTCTTTCCATTGTTTTTTGCTTTTTTTTTTAGTGCTCCTGCCTTCTTTTTTTTTTTTTTGTGTGTTTGTGTGTGTGTGTGTGTTGATATTTTGTGGATTTGTGTGTTTTCCTGTTTTTTTCCCCCATTTTATCAGTATTCGGTTTTTTTTTTTTTTTTTTTTTTTTTTTTCTGCTCACCGGAGGGGCCGTTTGCCGCGGGGTCTCAGTCCACCACATGTCATGTCCCCGCCGCCTGCCGCCACACACACACAAACAGTGAGAGAGAGAGAGGGAGAGGGGGAGTGGTGGGCATGAGGCCAGGCGCAGAGGAAGAGGGAAGAGGGCGGAGGCCCGGTGTGAATGAGTGAATTGAGAGGGAGGGGGAGTGTTGGTTGGTTGGTTGGAGTGACACGCGAATCCACCACCACCACCGCCACCACCACTACTACTACTACCACCAGCAGCAGCAGCAGCAGCAGCAACAGTAAGGCCGTGCATATATGTTTACATTATAAGTAAATATATGTATTTTTCTTTTCTTCTTTTTTTTTTCTTTTTTTTTTTTTACTGTTGTTTTGGTTGTTGCCTTTTCTTTCTTTCTTGTATCTTTCCGTTTGGCTGCTGATATATTTATATATAAATTTATAAATATATGTATGTATGTATCTATGTATTTACTTATATATATATATATATGTCTGTGTGTCTGTCTGTGTGGGTGTGTGGGTGTGTGTGTGTGGGTATATTTATATTTATATATTTATTATTCTTTGATTGTGTTTGCCTCATTTCTCTACAGGGGATTTTACCGTGCATGCTTCCTGTTATTTATTTATTCATTTTTGTTCTCGCAGAAGTGCGGGCCAGAAAGAAAGAGTGAGACTATAAATATATTTAGAGAGGGAGAGGGAGAGGGAGAAAAGGAAAAGAAAATGAAACCCCCTTCTCTCCTCCTTTTTTTTTTTTTTTTTTTTTTTTTTCCCGCTCCTCCTCTAAAAAAACAAACAAACAAAAAACGAGAATAAAAAGAGAGAAGAGAGAAGAGAGAAAAAAAAAAGAAAAGAAAAGAAAAGAAAAAATAAAATAAATGAAACGGAACAAAAAACAAACAGACAAAACTGTACGCAAATATACACATATACACATATAAATACACATATAAATACACATATACATTTACATTTATATTTATATTTATAAATAAATAAATATAAAAAAAAAAGGAAAAAAAGAAATGTGTATCTTTATTTATTTAATTCCTCCAGCATCTTTTCTTTTTCTTTTTTTTCTTCTTTTTTTTTTTCTTTTTTTTAGTATCATTCTCATTCTCAATCACTCGCCACTGGAAGGCAAGACAAGACAAATTACATGTAAGTCTGCCTCCTGTGCATCTATACACATCCGTGCTCATTTCTACCTACCTACCTACCTAACTATATTTATATTTATATTTATATTTATATTTATATTTATATACGTTTCAATAGTCTCACTGCGTCTACGGGGGAAACACGCGGTGTGTGGAGTGGGATTTAAAGGAAAAAGAAACAAACAAACAAACAAACAATTCCCCTTCTTTATTTATTTATTTATTTATTTGTGTTTTGGCGCTTATTTTTTATTCATGCACTTCTGCTCTTGTCAGGCAGCAGCGAGGGGAGGGCGGCAGGGGGGAGAAGGAGGGAGAAGGACGTCAGTTTAAAAAAAAAAAAAGAAAGAAGAAAAAAGGAGAAGGGGATAACAACGACTTCTGTTGGAGGGTTTTTTTTCTTTTCTTTTTGTGTGGTGTTTTTTTTTTTCTTTTTTTCCGTTTCTTCTCCATGCACTGCGTGTGTGTGTGTGTGTGTTGTATTGGGACTGGGCGGTGGTTTGAGGCCAACATGAGGAAATGGGGTGGAGGAGGAGGAGGAGTGAGAAGGAAAGGGAGGAGGAGGAGTGGCTGTCGGTTGACTGCGTGAACCCCCACCCTTCCCAACATGCACCGATGCCTCCGTGTGCATGCGTTGCGACCGGACTTTGAGCGCAACGCTGAGATTTTCTTTTATTTTTATTTTTATTATTTTGTTTTCTTTTTTTTCAGTGCGTAAAATGATGTGTAGAGATGATAAGGAGTTGTTTTGGACTCTTTTTGTTGGGTATTCCATCCATACAACCCATACATATGTGTGGTGTGTGGTGTGTGTGGTGTATGTGTGGATTTATATTTATTTTTGTCTTTATAGTAATTTATATTTATAGAATGGAATGGGATGGAAAGTGATGCGGTCATAACGATAAATACGGCGAGATGAATGCATGATTGAAAAGAAAAAAAAAATAAAAAAAAAAAAAAAAAGTAAATAAATAAAATAAAAAAGGAGGAAAAAAAAAAAGGATTTTTTTTTTTTATTATTTTCTTTCTCTGTTTCTCTGTTTCTTTCTTTCTTTCTCTTGTTTTTGGTTTTAAAGGTATATTTTTTTTTATAGCCAATAAATTTTTTTAAAATTTCTTGTGTTTGTTCATATAATTATATATAAATATATAAATATATAAGAGCGGCAACAATATTGGGACGGTGTGAATGGTTCTTGAACACGCCCCCGTGACGGGGCTTCTTCTGGGCATCTCCGTTCTCTCCCTGTCTTTTACTCCCCGGCAGTACATCACATTGCAGCATCCGTACGTGGCCTCGGGATGGAAAACAACCATCAGACGTCTTCCATTGGAAACATTACCGTTTGGGTTGATTGGTGTATCTTTGATAGACGTCACGTGTACGTTGCTGATACTGTTCCAGATGCGGATCCTGGAACGGCGTTGGGGATCTTCATTGTTTCTCGCGTTTGTTATGACATCTGCCATGACAGGCTCTGTGCTGCTCAACATGTTCATCACGGAATCCACGCCGCCATTAAATTTGGATCAGCTGCGCATTTTGTCTTCTGGGGGCTCAATTGTGCCGTTGGTGGCCCTTGTAACGCGCTATGTTCTTGAGGTTCGTTCACTTTGCCGGTGGCGCGTTCCCCTACTCCCTATTGTAATAACCGAGTGGTCGTTGGTCTTTGCGCCCCTCATACGACTGGTGATGTTCCCCGCCACGGAGATTCGCCCGAGGACACACAAGCAGCGTGCCATTCACGTAGACATCGGCTCCTGGACTCGCCTCATGTTGGCCCTCTTAGGTATCGTGTGGGGTATCGCCTCCAAGGAGACACGGCTGCTTAAATGGTGGCTGAGTTTTTCCAGCCGTTACATCTGCCGTCCCTTCATCAACTTCATCCGTCCCGTTCTGTCCTGCATGGCCGGATCCACAAGTGTTGTAGAACTCGGTATCCCTCGGCAGAATAGCGGGGAACAGACGGTGACGAGCGGCCGCTACACAGTGGACAACCTCGCCGGACTCCAGGTGGAGGGACACGTGCGTGTGCACCGCGCGCGTCCGCCTGCGAATGCCCTTTTTGGACAACAAATGCGCCGGCGAAATGAGAGAAACAATGGGAGTCACGGCGGCTCAACGGTGATGACTGATGCTGTCACAGAGGAGCGCATTGCACAAATCATGGAGCTTGGTCTGGGGTTTGACGCGGAGACAATTCGCTTAGCCTTGATTGATGCAAATGGGTACGTGGATATGGCTGTCGAAAAGCTCGTGAGCCGCCTTTGAGTTTTGTATTTTATGTAACAACCCGCATATCTGCCATTGTGTTTGTGCGTCTGCGTGTGAGTGAGGCGATGCCTGGGGAGGAAGAGACGGGGTGGGAGAAGTCGTTTCACCCTTGCGAACCCTACGCATATCATAAATATTCTTCACGTGAGAGAGATGCTATGTGAACTGAAAGAGGATGATTTTATTTCTTTTCTTCTCATATATATATATAATTTCTCTCCGCTATTATTACTTTTCTTCGCGTATCCCGAGTTTTCATGTATGCATGTGTGCGTGTGTGTCTGTGAAAGAGAGAAGGTGAGGGGGATACAACTAGTTTGCTTCCACATGGTTGTTTTTTTTTTTTTTGCTTTACCGTCTTTTACTCTTCTTCTTCTTAGCTTTTAAATCCCATCTGTTTCTCGGCGTGATATACATATATTTCTTTCCAGAGAAGAAAAGAGAAAGAGAGAGAGAGGGAGAGGTGGAACGCGTGTGAAAGCAACAGCTGTGGTGCGGCGCGTATTACTTTTCCACACATGCACTTTGAGGAATGACTTTGGGCCATCCCATCGCGAGAGCAGCAGCCCGACGACAGCGGATGGCAGAGTGGCGGAACTGACGACATTCTACACCGACCCCACCACATGTGTGTATGGGGGGTGAGTGGGGCGGGGCAGCAGATAACACCGGTGACATTCAACGGCTTTCTTTTGTGGGAAAAAGGAGGAAGAAGGTGAAGGATGATGACTTGAAGGAGACGTTGCCTGCAGGTAATGCCGAATAAGAAGACGGGGTGGCCAATGCGTCCGTGTCGTTGATGGGAGGAGGCTCTTGGCACGTCCAAGGCGAATACTGTGGGGCTTCTTTTTAAACGTGCCGAGACGCTTCTTTTTTGGGGGGCGTTGGGATAGGCTTCTAGCAATGAATTTTGCACAGGAGTCCTCGTTGTTGGACCAGGTAGACTCTGGGTGAGGGAACTTCATTTTTTTTTTTTTTTTCTTTTTTCTTTTCCTCCGTGTGTGTGCAACCCTATTTTTGTTTTGAGGAGAAACTGGCTCTATTGCATAGCCGAACATCATGTGGGGGATGTGATCCGCTTTGGGATGTTTTTTATTTTATTTTTGTCCCCACCCACCCACACAGACTATTACTATCTCTCTCTCTCTCTCTTTTTTTTTTTTTTTTTGATTATTTTTTCCCTGCTTTTGTGCGTGTGTGTGTGCCGGGAGGGAGGCTTATTAGCAACGTTGAGTGGATCTTATATGATGCCTTGGCGTGTGTCTTTTCCCGCAACGGAGGAGAAGGCCACGGCTGTATTTCAAAGAATGTGGAAGGAGCATCCCCGTCCCATTATGGCCACCGTGACCGTCATGGGTGGTTACTTCGTCTTTAAGGGGGCCGCGCTGCTGATTTCCCGCCACATGCGGAACAAGTTGCTGGCGACTCTCAAGAATCTTGAAAAGGACACGGTGCACCTCTTTGTTCATCATCGCTGGTCGCATGGACCCAATTTCTTCCCGCATTGCGTGAAAATAGAGACGTTTCTGCGCCTGGAGAAGATTGCGTACACCGTGCACTTCACCTCGGACGCCTCCCTTTCACCAACGGGCCGGCTGCCGTTCATTGTTTACAACGGCACCATCGTTGGTGACAGTGGGCCCTGCATGGAGTACCTGAAGGAGACGTTGCATTTGCGCCTGGACGACGGTCTCACCCCTGAAGATCGCGCCATTGGGCACGTCACGCGGCGCATGGTGGAGACATCACTCAACTACGGCCTTCAACGCAGCACGCTGGTGGACCGACCAGGACTGATGCAACAGATGTTTATAAAGGAGTACCTAGTGGAACCCAAGATGGCGCGGCGCCTGGTGCGTAGCATGCGGTTCAAGCTGGTCAAGGCGCTGAACACGCTGGGATACAACACACTCTCAGAGGATCAATATCCACAGGAGTTTTTACACGAAGTTCAAAGCCTGGAAACACTGCTTAGCGCAAAACCATTTCTGCTTGGAAACACCCCAACTAGTTATGACTGCACTGTGTATGCCTGGCTGCATGTGGCATGGGAGATTGGGCCCCATGGACCGGCAATAAAGTATCTTCGGAAAAGCAATGTCCTCAGTGAATACATCACGCGTATGAAAAATCTGGCATTTCCGGATATCAATGAACTTGGCACGTCATCTGAATCACAAAAATTTATTCCCTACAAGAAACAAACGTGATGGATAAAACAGGGAAGATCTTTGGTTTTTGCCCTTGCGCCTTTTCTTTTCTTTTTTCTTTTTTTTTACCGTCTGCTGGTGGAACGGAAAGAAGGAAAAATAAAGGACAGGACAGGACAGGACAGGACAGGAAAGAAAGAAAAAATTTCTAGAAGGATAGAGAAGTGTCGCATTGGGGATGTGGCGACATGAAACCGTCTTGGTTTATGCCGAAATCTTTTTGCTTCTCCGTCTGTCTTCGCAGTTTTTCTTTTTTTTTTTTTTTCTCTTCTTTTGTGGTGGTTGTGGGAGGGTTTAGTTCTGTTAAATTTCGGAATCTTTTTTTCCTTTTTTGTTTTTTTTTTCTTTTTTTGAGGGGGTTTTGTTGCATGTTTCACTCGCTCTCCCTGAATATGTCTGTTGGCTTGTGTTGGCCCATTGAAGAGAAAGGCGCATACTTACTGTGAGCAAATACATACATATTTATATATTTGGTGCTTATGTATATTTTATTGTACGCATGCAAGCACTTCATTGTTTTTTTTTTTTTTTTTTTTTCCTTTCTTTCTTTTTCCCCCCCTTTTTTTCTCTTATTATTATTATTAATAAATATAAATATATAAAAATATGTATATTTTTATTGTTGTTGGTGTTTTTTTGGCTCGTATTTTGTGCGCATCTTTCATTTTTTAATTTTATTTTATTTTTATGTGTTTTTTTTTATTTTTTATTTTTTATTTTTTTATATTTTTATTTTTTTCTCCGTTTTTTGCCTCATTTTTTACATCTCCCTGTGAATGTCTGTGCATATCAGTCGTTAGGCAAAAAAAAAAAAAAAAAAAGTACAAATAAATACACGAATATATACAGAAGAAGAAGAAAAGAAAAAAAAAAAAAGATGTTTCCCTCCGGTTTGGTGGTCCCCGTAGTGGCGACGGTGTCTGTGGTGGTGCCGATGATGGCAGTCTCGCGGGAGGTGGAGCTGCGGAAGAAAACGCCTCATCATGTGATGCCTTCCGTGAAGGAAACCATCTTGGCCGGCCTCAGTGACGCGCCCGCGTCGAAGCCCACACCAACGCCACCACCACCAGCACCACCAGCACCAGCAGCGGCGGCGGCAGCACCGCCCGTGACTACTCCGACTCCTACGACGATCCCTACGACTAATAGCGCCAATGCCGACGTCATTACGTCCGTTGTTACGCCCTCCCCTACACCATTAGCGGCAAGAACTTCGACAACTCCCATCGCTGTGCCTCGTGTAAGTCGCACAAGCCATTCCTTGACCAAAACTGTCGCTGCAGCAATCTCGTGGATTCGTTCGTACCCATTCACTGTGGCGGGTGCAACTGCCGTTTTGGCCTTCACAGCGTCCAAAGTGTACACCACATACTTGCGCATCAAGGTGCGGCGTCAAATGATGTCAACCGACGACTCACAGAAAGTGCAGTTATATGTGGTCACACAGTCCTTTGCGACACCCAGCATCTCCGTTTCGTGTGTCATGGTAGAGACATTTCTGCGTAAGGCGAGGATACCCTACGAGGTGCACACTTTGAATGATCCTCTCATATTTCCAAACGGAAAATTACCACTTATTCGGTATAAGGACAACCTCATGGACACTCCGACCAACATTGTGAAGTTTCTCACGTCGACATTCAACGTTCAAATGGATAAACATCTCAGTAAAGAGGAAAAAGCCATTGGTGTTTCTCTTGTATCAATGACTCGGAACTGGCTTTGGCGTGCCCCTGACTGTTTGCCCCGCATGGAGAAGCACAGGAACATCAGGGCCTTTCTCTTAGGGATGCTACGAAAAGTAACGACACCACGCGAGAAGGCACGGATGACGGCGATGATAACTAAACAAGAGGAGGACCTTAAAGCCATAGAGAAGGTTATGGGTATAAAAAATTATTTACTAGGGTCTACTCCCACCTCATATGACTGCGCCTTGTACGCAGCGTTGCTGCCGTTTATCTCGGAGAAAGAGGATGGACCGGCGGCGTACGTGAAGAAGAGCAAAGTATTCAAAGGCTACATGAAACGCATGTCACACACCACGCCAGATGGGCATAAAGGGTTGGATGCCCACCAGAATGGGAACTCACACTGAAGGGGTTGGTGAGGTTATTTTTATTTTTATTTTTATTTTTTCTTTTTCTTTCTTTCTTTCTTTATTTTTAAAACAAAACAAAACAAAACAAAAAAATAAAATAAAATAAAAACAACCAACAACAACAAAAAAAAAAAAAAAAACAAAAACAAAAACAAAACAAAACATCATCGTTATTGGGGTGGCGTGAGTCGTTTTGATTTGTGTTTACTTGGGTTTATTCAGTGGTGGGCCATGTCGGTATACGGAGAAAGTGGGACGGTGGGCGAAATAAAGGTGGAAATAAAGACGATTCAAACCGCTTTTTTTTTTTTATTTTTTTTTTTATTTTCTTCTTTATTTTATTTTATTTTTCCGTTTTTTTTTTTTTTTTCTTGTTGTTGTTTCTTATTTCCCAAATCATTGTTTTGTTTCCTTCATTGGTGAGGAGGATGAAAGGGTCATGAATTGTTGGCGTGGGGAAATGAAGAAGGGAGAGGGTAAATGAATTTTGGGTACATTTTGACCAGTTGGAGGGTTCCATGATTTAATGAGGATTGTGGGAGTGGGTGGTGTGGGGAGTTACAAATTGGGCTGCAAGTCTGCTTTCAGCAGGCACTGGGTTCAATTAGCAGCAAAGATGCACGCATATCTTTACATGGATGTATGCGATTTTTAGTCAACTTATTTCCGAACTTATTATTATTATCATTGTTATTTTATTTTATTTTATTTTATTTTTTGCCTGTCTGCATGGGTGGAGAGGGTATTATTTGTTTATGCTTCTCATGTGTCATGTATTCCTTCAATTGTGGTTACACTGTTTGGCAATGCAATATATTACAGATGCCAACTGAAAGGGTAGCCTGCTTCCCTCGCCTCGATAGGACTCAAATTCTTTTTTTTTTTTCCTTTCTTTACTTGTGTTAAAATTGAATGTTTTTATTTATTTATTTATTTATTTTTGGGAGGGGGTTTTGTTGTTGTTGTTGTTGTTGGTCTCATCATCTGTGGACGCATGTATTCGTGCGTAGACAATTTTATTTGTCAAGAGGGATTTTTTTATTTTTTTATTTTGCTTGCTTGCTTTTTTTTTTTTTTTTTGTATAGTGATGGTCAAAGCCCCCGCTCCGCCCCACAGGGATGCGGAGGGAAAAGGAGTGCGGGCGGTGCGTGCGTGTGGGGAGGGAAGGGGAGGGGAGGGAAGAGGGCGTAAAAGGCCCAATTTGCGTGTTGTCACGTGACCCGAAGTTTGATGGGGGGAGTGAAAACTCCCATCAGGAATTTTCTTCTATTCCCTTTTCTCTCTCTTTTTGTATGGGGGGATTTTTAAATAAGACATCGCGAGGGCGGCGGAGAGGGAAAGGGGGGCGGGCGGGCGGGAAGCCCCGGGTGCTCAGCGGACGTCCCACATGACGCTGCCCACCGCTGCTGCTCCTGCGGCCTGCCTGTCGTGACATAAAAACGTCTTTTTCTTTTTCTTCTTTTCTATTTTAACTTTCATTTTACCACCCGCTCCGTGGCTTCCGGGTTATTCACAGAAAAAGTTACTTGCACTTCATCACGGCTAGCTGGATACACTGTGGCACATTGAAAAACCCCACAGCACAGAGAATAAAGAAGAGATGCTTCGCCGCATATTTGCCCGCTTCTCCCCGAAGCTGAGTAAGGCGTACCCGATGATTGACCACACCTTTGACTGTGTGGTGGTTGGTGCCGGTGGTTCAGGGCTTCGTGCTGCGATGGGCGTTGCCGCGTCCGGCTACGACGTGGCATGCATCTCTAAACTCTATCCATCAAGGTCACACACCATTGCTGCCCAGGGCGGCATCAACGCAGCACTTGCCAACTGTGAGGAGGACGACTGGCGTTGGCATGTGTACGATACCGTGAAGGGAAGTGACTGGCTGGGGGATCAGGATGCAATTCAGTACATGTGCCAAGAAGCTCCGTGTGTGGTCTCAGAACTAGAGAGCATGGGACTTCCCTTCTTGCGTACAAAAGATGGATTTATTTATCAACGTGCATTTGGCGGCCAATCTATTCACTTTGGTGGAAAACAGGCGCGCCGGACGTGTGCCGCGTCGGACCGCACGGGACACGCAATGCTCCACACACTCTATGGGCA